TCAGTAAATATTTTAAGTCCTCTTCATTATCAGCAAGCAAGGTTGTATCATCTGCATATCGCAGGTGGTTAATGAGTCTTCCTTCTGATGCCACGTTTTTCTTCATATAACCCAGTTTGTTGGATTACTTGCTGAGCACACAGGTTGAATAAGCATGATGAAAGAATACAACCCTGTCACACACCTTTCTCAATTTTAAACCATTCAGTGTTCCCATGTTCTGTTTGAACAACTGCCTCTTGGTCCATGTACAGATCCATCACGAGCACAATTAGGTGTTCAGGAATACTCGTACTTTGCAATGTTGTCCATAGCTTGTCATGATCCACGCAATTGAAAGCCTTTGCGTAGTCGATAAAGCACAGGTAAACATCTTTCTGGTATTCTCTGCTTTCAGTCACAATCCATCTGACATCAGCAATGATATCCCTCGTTCCACAGTCTCTTCTGAATCTGGCTTGAACCTCTAGAAGTTCTCTGTCAATGTGTGCTTGCAGCCATTTCTGTATTACCTTTAGTAAAACTTCACTCGCATGGGATATCAAAGATATTAATGCTACTGAATTGTATACTTTAAAACAATTAAAATTTTTTTGTTATATACATTTTACCACAATAAAATGTATTTTTTTGTTTTGTAAAATGCTGTGGTTTATGGTTTAAGGATTAGTTGTTTTCACAAAGGGAAGGGAACCATGAACTCAGGTGACCTCTTCTTCGTAGACATATACAGTATTTGAGTCCTGCCCCTTTTGTCTTTTGCCAGCTAAACCAGACTGCCTGTAGGGGCAGGGTCACATTTTAGTGTAGGTGAGGGAGTACTTGAGTGGAAAGAATTGCATGATCCCAAGAACAACTGCAGGGGCCAGGGAGAGCTGGGTGAAAGACAGAAAAAGCCGAGGATGTGGGACGGAGGGTGACTCACTGCTGCATACTAGGTAAAGCCCTCTATCCTACAAGGAAAAGCATTAGGGAAGTCACATAAATGCTGGGTGAAAGCTAGCAGTACGTCTTTTGCTGCTTCATGACACCAATTTGGAAAGCACGGTAATAAAGACTTGCTGCAGGCTGCCCAAAGGATGGAGCACACGGCGAAGCTTTAAAAAATCCCTTCTGTGTGTTGATCTGGAAGACATGTCCAAATGGTGGTTGTTGCCTGCACAGCAGTGAGGCACACACAGAACTAGGGCACTACCATCTGGAGCTAGAGCTGTAAACTTTTACTTTCTGCTGTTAGCAACCTGAGCCAGCCATTGTCTACCATAGTCTATTGTTCAGCTCCCAACACTGCACAACCCTAGACAGCATCATTCACATTTGTAGTTATCGTAAATCAGCACATTTAGGATGATTACTTTTTCTGGCAAGTGACAGTAAAGGTGTTGGAGAAAGGGTAAGTATTGGGATCATGTGGATAAGTGGTAGAGTAGTTCATTTTCAAACACATGTGAAAAGCACATTATCAGCACACAGATTTGGTGAAATGTTAATCTATACAAAAGGGGTTTACAAACAGCTAATGTTTATTGTTCATTCCAGAAATATTTATGGAGCACCTGCTTTGTGTCAGGCACTGTGCTAGGTCATGATGAAATAGCAGTGACCAAAAGTGACAAAAACGCCTTTATGCCTCCATAGAGCTGGCACTCTCGGGAAGTGTAAGGAATCAGGTACTATGAGAATAGCGTTCCATGTAGTTTATGGTATTTATGGAGTCCTTGGTTGGTGCAAACAGCTAATGCATTTGGTTGCTGATTGAAAACATGGAGTTTAGGCTTCTGTTATCTGTGCTCATGTTCTCTAGAATGCCTCTGAACTCTACTGAGGGTCCTTCAGATCTTGCACTATTGCTATTCAGATGGGAGACAACCCCCAAAAAGTAAATATACCCCCCAAAATGTGAAAGCCCTTAAGAACAGAAATCTATGTCCAGCATGGTCACCTACAGAAACAGTCTAAAAAGTGTCCAGAATGCAGTAACCTCCCTCCAGGACTCACTGGGGACTTCCAGAGAACCCTGGAAAGCCTCAGAGTAGAGAATTTCCATTCTAGGAGTGGCTGCCATTATCAAAAAAGGATGACTTTACCTAGAATCCAAAACACTGCTAAATGAACAATCGATAGGTAATCCACAAACCTGGAGCATTTTGTAAGCTAGTATGAAGAATTAGATCACCAGTAAGGATAAGAAGTGAGTTTCCATCTGTGCCGCATCTAAATAGGTCACATTGAATGATGCCCTGTAACCACAAAATGTTAATGATTTCTTCTCAGTCTTAAAACTGGACTGTATTTTTTGGTGTTCTCATTTTATAAGCTGGACTTATTGAGGCATCATTTACAAACAATTGTTTTGCTCTTTTAGTTCACAATTCTATGGGTTGGAAAAACTCGTACAATCATATGATCACTACCACAAATAAGATAAAAAAACTATTTCACACTCCTAAAATTCCGTTTTGCTACCTTATATCTCTAGCCCCTAACAGCTACTGATCTGATAAAACTGAACTATACTACAATACAAATTTCCATATTATTCAGACTTCCCATCAAATATTTACCATTATTTCATTGATTCTAAAACAGTTTTCCTCCATTAGATTTGAGCACACAGAAATTAGATTTTAGTGTACAATCAAAGGCATTTTACCATTATAATTGGTCATTTATATACTTAAAGCTGAAATACACAAAATAGCAGTGTCTTATAATCAACAGTGCCTTAAAATCAATGAAGTGCAACATTAAGTCATTTATTTCATTACACTCATTGAATACTATTTGTTAAGCATTCTATTAGACCTTAGGCATACAAAAACGAACATTAGGTCCTCAAGGAATTATCACTTGAGACAAGGAGACAGATAAATAACTATAATATAATGTAACAATGTCTGAAACAGAGGGATATTCACTCACTAGAACTAAATAAAATGATCTCTACATTGTTCTGCTTTCAGCACGCCCTCAAAATTTGCATCTTTCCACGATGTCCCAGAATCGAATCTCACCTATGAAGGAAATAAGGATGAAGGCAGCAGCATTCAGCTTCATTCTGTTTGTTCTAAGAATGAGTTATTGCCACATCATCAGACATATCTCCTAGGAACAATCCAATTACTTATTCCATAATACACTACTATAGTAAGGAAGTCTCATTTTAGCGTTCAACAGCTGCAAGACTCTTATGATAATATCAAAAGAAAAGCACCTGGAAAAAACGATTCAATTTACGAAAGGCCAGATGCCCACATCTTTCACAGACAAGCTTCAAGGTTTCTAAATTCTTCCCTGGACAACTTTTAAAGGAGAACACAGAGAAGAAAAGTTAGTGCAGTTACCTGGTTCTTGAAAGTGCTCTTCATTTGACAGAGTTCGCGACAAGATAAGTATTAACGCTTCTTTAAATTGATCAAAATGCACCTGAAATAGAGATTTAAACAGAAATTTAAAATAGTTTCCTTAGCTTTAAGAATGCAAACCATCAATAAGTTACCAGAACCATGTGTTCACATTTTGACAGCCTTACAATGAACCATAACCTGCTGCTTCTTCTTTTTTTCCCCCTTCTCCTTTCTTTCTTAACAGCACAGAATGGAAAAATGGGTAGGTAATTTTGTGTTATAAATACTAATATAAGTATCTATTCAACCTCCTGTGAGGAAAAGTTATCTAGTAAAACCCTCTCTCTCTCTCTTTCTTTTTCTTTCAAAACCCTCTTCAAAAACTCATAAAAAATACATGTTTTGAACTCTTAGTTGCTGTAATTTTTTCTACATAAGACTAGAAGAGAAAGATGTTACACTAAATGCTATGGAAAAACTTTCCAAGTAAATAAACCATTAGAACTGCGAATGCTTTCATCTCTTAAGATATTCCAGAGGGAGTAAACTATCGGTGGAGGATGAATTGAATATAGTCTTGCCTGAGGCAGGTATATAACATTTATCTCCCAAGGCCCCTTCAGTCCTGATTCCATAAATAAGCAAAAATCAGTAGAAAACACAAAGGACAAGAGAGCCTTGTGAAGTATTTTCCTGAATTCTTAAAAATAAAATTACCTTGACTGAGTCTTATTTAAGTAAATGCTTGGTCAGAACTGGGATATTACTTATGTTTAAAGGGTAAAGCAGGTTTCTTAATGAACAATTACATTTTTTATAAACAAATTTACGTGTTCTCACTATGGGACAAGAGGCAGAGAGAATATTTTTCCACTTTAATTCTAATTGGATAATATGTTACCTATTTACATGGGCACTGATAAAGTATCTAAATACAAAGTTGGTAAATTTGCACAATCTGTGCTATTACGAGTCTCTCCTTGGAAGTCATTATAAGATGATGCCTAGAAGTTTAAATGTAAAACCCATTACTGTTTAATGGATTCCAACTCAGAGCATCCTATAATATTGGTGACAGATAAAAACCCCTTCAAAATTTAATTTAGAAAAGCAACAGACCTTCATCTAAACAATGGAAGGGAAAAAAATCATGTACGCAGTACTTCAAAAAGTTTGTAGAAAAATGGATTTAAAAGTAATGGAATTTCTCCAAACTTTCTGAAGACCCTTTGTAATATCTTATTCATGCAAATCAAAGCAAAAAGAGCAAACCATTAAGGTTTGTCATAAAATTGTAAACGCTTACAATGTGCTGTAAGGGTCTGTAATTTCTCTACTAAATTGGTATTCATTAATTAGTCTTGATTAACTGAAGTTACTTTGCAAAATTATATGTCTTTAAAAGTCTATAGTACAATTTATAGCAATAAATGCATACCTCCAAAAAGAAAAAAGAATCAGTATCAACATCTTAACCCAACATCTGCAACAATTGGAAAAAGAGCAGCAAAGCAAGCCTACAGTTACCAGAAGATAAAAAATAATGATTAGAGCAGAAATTAAAATAAATAAATAAATAAATAATCTACTGATCCAGAAGCAGAATTCTGTCAAGGAATGCAGCATATCTGCTGAAGGTCCAGGGTGGTGCAATCAACAAAAGGGTTAACACAGTGTTCAAATATAGGCAGTGCTAATTAGGTTTCACAGCTGACAATTTGCTGAGATGCCTGGGGGAGAGTCGTGACTGGCAGACCCTGCTATTGTTCTGGAGTCAGAAATGGGCTTCAAACACTGTGGCAACCCAGCTCCAGTTGACCTGGACAAGGCCACCTTCCTAACCCGTCAGTTCACAGATAGTACCTACCCAAATGCTGCTTCCTCTCAAATGCAGAGACTTAAACATTTACTAATTCCTACCAGAATCATTCTTTCTTCTCAGGAAAGTTAGTATAGGGACTAGGCATTTGAGCTTTAGACCAGGTAGGTCTACGTACTAATCCTGACTCTTTCCACTTACTTCCTGCTGGGATTTGGTGAAATGACTTAACTTTTCTGAGCTTTAGTTTGTTAATCTATACAAAAGGGGTTCACAAACAGCTAATGTTTATTGTTCATACCAGAAATATTTATGGAGCACCTGCTTTGTGTCAGGCACTGTGCTAGGTCATGATGATACAGCAGTGAACAAAAGTGACAAAAACGCCTTTATGCCTCCATAGAGCTGGCAATCTTGGGAAATGTAAGGAATCAGGCACTATGAGAATAGCATTCCATGTAGTTTATGGTATTTATGGAGTCCTGTTGTGGCTCTGTGGGTTAATGCACCAGACTGCAAAGCCGTTTGAACTACAAGGTTGGTTCAAGCTCACCAGCTGCTCCTCGGAAACCCTATACAGGGTCGCTATGGGTCGGAACCGACTCGACAGCACTGAACAACAACAACAACAATGGAGTCCTTGGGTGGTGCAAACAGCTAATGCATTTGGTTGCTGATTGAAGAGTTGAAGGTTCATGTCCACCTATAGGCACCTTGAAAGAAAGGTCTGGCAATCTACTTCTGAAAAATCAGCCATCAAAAGCCCTATGGAGTGAGGCTCTACTCTGACACACATGAGGTAACTATGAACTAGGATCAACTCAACAGCAACTGACCAACTAGACATGTTATTTATAACACCAGCTCCCTCGCTGGGACATGAGAAGAATGATATGAAAATTACTTAGTGTCTAGAATTTCCTGGAATTTAATAGAAGATCTGTGTTAGAAGAAGTACTTCCAGAATGCTCCTTGGAAGTCAGGATGGCCAAACTTCGTCTCTTATACTTCAGACATATTGTCAGGAGGGACCAGTCGCTGGAGAAGGATATCATGTTTGGTAAGATGGAGGGTCAGAGAAAAAGAGGAAGATTCCTAGTGAGATGGATTGGCAAAGTGGCAGCATCAATGGGCTCAAGCATGGCAACAATTGTGAGGTTGGCCCAGGACCGGGCAGTATTTCGTTCTGTTGTGCATAAGATCACTATGAGTTGGTACTGACTCGATGACACCTAACAACAGCACCAACAGCAATTGGTAGTTAACGATAGCAATAGGTATAGTAATGGGCCACCATCCGTCAGTTTGTTGTACTGTGGTAGCTTGCATGCTGCTATGATGTTTGAAGCTATACCACCAATATCTCAAATACAAACCAGTAGGGTCACCCATAGTCAGGTTTCAGTGGAGCTCCCTGACTACGACAGACTAGAAAAAGACCTGATGATCTGTTTCTGAAGATTAATCAACGACAACCTCCTGAATAAGCATGTAACATTATCAGACATAGTGCTGGAAGAAGAGCATCTCAGGCTGGAAGGTACATGGATCGACACAGTGGCAGCACAGCGGGCTTAAACATAGCAATGATTATGATCTGCACAGGACTGGGCAGGGTTCCATTCTGTTAGAAACAAGGTCATTGTGAGCTGGAGTCTACTTGATGACACCTAAGAACAATAGTAATGGGGGTGACTGTTCCCACAACTTTTATAGATGGTAAACTACAAAATAGGCCATATTTTTGAGCCAAGTAAGTGGCCATGTGAGTGACCAAAAGAGTCAAGCTGGTTAGGAACTGCCTTTTCCCCCAGAACTTGTATAGTTGTCCAGCGCTGGGGAAACAGATCCAATTTGCTGTGTTTAGGGACCCCCAACCCTGGCTTTCTTGTGTCTCTTAGGATATTAATTGCTGGGACTGGAATGAAACTTAAGTCTCCCCTTACTACAGTTGCAAGTTAAAGAAAAAGAAGCTTCTGCTTTGAAACTGAGGCACTTGTCTAAAGAATTCCACATCCTCTGTACGTGACTCTGTGAGACTCTGCTGGGTTTTCTGAAGATACAATTCTGATAAAACTGGGAAGAGGTTCTTTACCTGAATCTGGTCCTGAGATAGTTGAATTTAGTGGATTTTAGGCATGAAGGTTACCCAGGATCTGTGTAAGTCAATTTTACTTCCTTCCTTCCACAATCTAGAAGTTAATTCTAATCACTTTCTATGTGATTTTCTATGAAGACTGGGTATCCCTCCACTATGCTATAACAAAAGCACAACTTTTAAGACTACTTATCTCACGACTCGATGGCACTTAACAACAACAACAACAACATCTCACAGTTTCAATTATCCAGAGCAGGCCAGACAACTCGGAAGCAAACAGAAGTGGTGTCAAAAACTGAGGTAGATGTTGTAAAATACATTCTCTCTTCTCAGAGCAAAATGCCGAAGAACTCAGGATCTGTTATTATTCTTTCTCTTGTTCTATTTCCCACTCTCTACCACTCGTCTATCTGTCGTGCTGTGGTGGTCTGAGTTGCTGTGATTCTGAGGGCTATGCCACCGGTGTTTTAAATAACCAGCAGGGTGACCCATGGTGGA